GCCAGCCAGCCAGCCAGCCAGCCAGCGGCAGCAGCAGCTATTGATGTTACCTGTGAAATTTTTTGCATTAGACGAGACAGACGACGGCTACAAAGAATTCCACTAAAATATTATAAATAATGTTTGTTGTCGTTAATTTTGTTTTTGCTGTTGTTTTTGTTATTGTTGTTATTAATATTAATAGAGTTGTATTTACGTGCAGATAGTTATTAACACTACTAGCATTACCGTCATCATCATTACCATCAGCACCAGCACCGCCATTGTCGTCGCCATCACCACCACCACCACCACCACCGCTACCGCTACCGCCAACGACTCGCTTGCTCACTCCAATCGAATCGATTTGCATATCCAGCTATTTATAGCCGGGAATTCCACTGCCTGCTGTGGATGTAGTGATAAAACTGTTGTAATAATAATAAAAAAAAAAAAAAAATAATAATAATAAAAAACAAAAACCGCAACAACAACTAACAAAACAACTATACAACCGTTTTATGTGACTATTAAAATTTTTTAACAGACAAAAGAGAGAGTGGGAGACAGAGAGAGAGAGCAACATAGATACAGAGAGAGAGATAGAGGGAGAGAGAGAGATAAAAAAAGAGAACGAGTGAGAGCGAGGCTGAGAGAGGAAGATTGAAGTGACAAACAATCTTAACAACAAACAGCAAATAACCAGAAAACAAGTCGAATGTTAACCAACATCGAAGACAAACATAAACAAAAACAAAAACACCATCAACGGCCGCTACAGGCCTCAGCTTGTCCCGTCTATCACTCACCAAGCTCTATAAAAGTTTTCATCGTTTGTTGCAAACGCTTAATGAGTCCAGAGCAATGCAGAGCTCGTTTCGGAATAGTGGACTACACGCAACACTTAACAACAAAATCTAAAGACAAACAACATACAAATTCATATTAAAACCCTAGAGGAGCTGTGGTCTCAAATGCCCCGTTTCATCTTAATTACTGTAATGCTACATAATCGGCTAATTTGTGCGTGATCTCTAACTGATTAATTCATTAAATAATAATTTCGTTTTTGTTTTGTTTTTTTTTTTTTTTATATTATTTTACTTCTTTTTTTTTTTTTTTTTTTTTTTTTTTTTTTTTTTTTT